CTTATTCAACTTTGATCTTAGCATCCAATACATGCTAATCTTTAAAGTGCAGCTAATATTTGATGCATGCATCACGAAGGGCTTCTGCCTTTCACGTTTTGTTTCTCCCACGTCCCTACCATAATTGCTGTATCAAATCCAGCTTATGAACCTTCCTGCATTTGCTTGGCCAGAGTTTTCTGCTTGAGGCTAGCACCACTCTCCAGGAATATTACACCAGAATAGCGCCTGCACAAGTTACACAAGGGATGACACTTACTGAGCTCTGTGACTGCCTTGGTGGTAGTGGCCAAGATGTAGTGATGTTCCATCTGCTCCAGGTTCCTCAGGTTGCTTTTGCGCATGACTGAATAATACCTTGTGTGATGGCTTGAACTCCCAGCCTTTGCTTCTGTGGCTTCTCTATTACAGAGATGATAGACTGCCGCAAAGTTACAGGCTCCAGGCGGGTAGTTAAGGCGTGCCATAGGTCTGCGTTCACCTATTGGCGTAGCTCATGCTTAGATAACTCTGTGCCATTTGGGAGATCTGGCTTCTCTGGCAGCTGCCTGGAGAGGAAATTAGCATGACTGCAAAGTGCAGGGAGCATCAGGGAGCCTTCAGTAAACGTTGGCTGACAAGAACCAAGAACTCCATTTTTTTGTCTCCTTTCCTCTCACATGATTCAAACTCCAAGTCCTCCCAGGAGACAACCCCCAAGACTGAGCAGTCGGCAGTCTCTGTGACGAAGCTGTGGCCAGTCCAGTGGCAGATCCTCTTGATCTGGTCCTCTCTCCCTCTCTGACTCATGTCTCTTTTCCCCTCATGTTTGTTTCTCTCAAATCATTGATCTAAAAGCCTTGGCAGCAGGTCCTGCTTTCTGTGGAGCCTAGAAAAGATCACGTTTACCTACCCCGTTTAAGCGATAATGCTACCTTTATAACCTGTACCCTTACAGAACTCATCAGTTCTATTTTTTTGTTGTTGTTGTTTATTCTACACATTTGATCGGTGCCTTTGATCCACAGCACTGTAGTCTGCCTGAAATACATATTTCACCATTGTAAGGTCTGGTTTTAGAATACTCAGTCTTAAACGAATGAAGATTAGATTAGCAGGCATGTGACTTAGCTGTCTCCTGCACCATACTCGCATTGTTCCATTTCATCAAATCCATCTCAAGCCTCTTGCTTATGTTTTATCTGTTGTGTAATTTATCTTTCATCTTCAGAGCTGTCATGGCCACCCCAGGATTCATCTGAGTTCAAATGGAACATTTTCACCACTTTCAGTTGTGAATTTTACTTCTTTCTCCATCACAATTCCTGTTTTCAAAGGAACCGTCAGCCCTCTTACTGCTCCAACGCTTACATCATGTGCTCAATTACATCCATACAAGATCTGAAATTTAAAAAGAACAGCTGGTCTAACCATACAAAAATGATTCCACAAATCCGATGACTACAGCCGGCAAAATTGCTATTGCTCTGTTCAATTTTCATTACTACATTAACAAGATAAAAATTCTGAAGGAGCCTTGATTTCATTCCGCACAAGAAGTCACTTTCTGAAAACACTTGCTTCTTCCACGCCCCGAGAAAGATGCAATGAGATTGTTCTATCACCACGAATCCAGTTGAGGAACATCCCACATCTAGTTGAGTTTCAGGGAGCAAAAATCGTCTTGCTAATGACTTACTTGCTCTGTGCCATTTTTATTCTCGTGCTTTAACAACTTGAAGGCCAGACTTAACACATGTCAAGCTTTCACTGTGGGAACTCTAGAGCCACCATCACACTGCGGAGAAGTTTCCAAAAAGTTCTCAGCACCTCTATTCCCTCGCACGCACCTGTGGGGCCTGAGTGGGAAAATGCTAAGTTGGCCAGCACGCTGACTCACCCAACACGGCTCAGGGGGCCAGAGCTACCTAAGATCCCCAGCTGTGCCAAGAGGGCAAGCTGAAGACACCCTCCACGCAGCCCGCGGTTCAGGCCCCGGGCACGAGGAAGCCCCTCCCGGCTAACCCGGGGCTGGAAGTCCCCACCCGGCTCGAGCCATGCACACCCACCGCGCTTCCCACGGACGACGCGCCGCTGCCACCCACGCGGTGACGTCACCGCCCGGCTGTCGGCCGCCCACGCGGTGGGAGCCGGAAACCGGGCGAGGCGGCCGCGCGCGCCCCCGCGCCCCTGGGGAGAGCCGGCCGGCGGCGGCGGGCATGCGCGAGGCTGCCGCGCGGCCGGAGATCCGGTTCTCCAAGTGCGAGCTGGCGACGCGTCGTGGGCTGTCCGGGGGAACCCGAGGGTGGGGATGGGACGGGCAAGGGGAGGGGTTGAAGGAGAGCCGGTAGGAGCGCGAGGGTGCTGGGGAGGGCGGGGTGAGGGTGGGCCGGGAGCCCGGAGCCTGCGGTGTGTCCGCGCTGGGCGCGCCGCAGGGGTTGGGGATGTGTTTGCAGGAAGATGAAAACAAGCAACGCAGGCAGCCCGGGGTGGGCTTGTTCTAAACCAAGAACACGCTGAGAACACCTGCCCTGAGCCCGGGACCCGTTCTCCCCGAGGGATAGCAACGCACCTGCGTGCAGTCTCGCGGTGCGGGCGTCAGGGCTCCCTGGATTATGGGTCACCCGGCCGCAGAGTTGGTGGTTTGGCCATTCTTTACCTGTCTCTGTGAGGCGGAAGCTCACGTTGCCCACGGCCCCTTTGAGGTCCCACCCTGGTGAAAACGAGACAGTGAAAACAATGGCCGATGGCGCAGGGTGGGACATTGAGAGGTGCAGCCTGGGCCTCGGCGACTGGGAAGGGATTTCGACGTGGTCACAGGAAAGGCAGGCAGAAAGCTGCGATCTGGCGAGGAAAACGGAAGGGAAAGCGGAGGCTCGAGGTAGACTAAAAGCTGCGGAGGAACGACACCTGCTCCGCCTGAGTCGCCTTCTAGGTTAGGTTCGGCGAGTAGGAGCACTTAGAATTCCGGGCACGGGTGGTTCTTTGTGTGCTGTGGTGCAAGCCACACTGCCTCTCTGTGCAGCCAGAAGGTCTGCTCATTGAAAGGTGGAATACTTTCCCACGATGATGATGTAAAATGCAGAATGGGTGCCCGGCCCCTGGCTCTCCAGTGCTTGCTGGAGAGGTTTCCAAGCCCCTTAGAGACTGTAGTTGTGACGGGGGATAAACCCAGTTCCAAACCCAGTGTCCTTTCTGTGCCAGCACTCCATTTTTAAAATAAAAAAGGAAAAGGAAGGACAAGAACACGGAATCATCCCTGTTTCAAGAAGCTTGGCCCTGGTGACATTAATTTGCTCATGTCTTTATTGTTATCGCCCACTCAGTTTAGGCACTGATGCACCAGTGCCTTGTCTGAGTGTCAGCCTCTGTAATGGGTGTAACTTGTCTCTCCCGTGCAAGGCTCTAAGATGCTCCAGGCTGTCAGTCCAGATCCCTGACCTAATTGACATGAAGTGTCTCTTTGCTGACTCTCCTTTCCCCGTACCTGCCTAGCCCACACGTGTCTGATGAGCTATGCCTTCTGCAGAGTGGGAAACAAGTCCGCTAGTTTCTTTGAAACTATTCTGGTCCCCTTGCAGAATCACCTCCTTGAGGTGGGCATCCAGCAAATGTGTGACTTCATCGTCGTGCCTTTCAGCAGAGGAAATACAATCTGCCTGTTGCCTTATGAAGAATTGCCACCCGCACACCATGCCCCCAAGAAGCAAGCAACCAGTGTTGGACTGATTAGCCCCAGACATTCTTGACCCTTTTCTTCTGGAGTGTGCATCTGCTCTTCCGCCATGAACAATACCCATGCATTGGCCAAGTTGCCTAAGAAATTCTTCAGGAGATTGTGCAATTCGAGTATCTCGTTGACTTCAGAAGGCCAATGAACAAATTAAAGAAAAATCAACCTCCCTCCCCCCAAAGGACATCAAAACCCAATGCAAACAGGGCTTTTATGTTTGGGAATCTTACGTGCACATCTTAACTGACAGCATGTGTGTGATTCACAGGGCTTAGACTGAGACTACATGCAGTACTTTTAATATCTGAAAGGAGGTGACTGAAGAATGTGTTGGCAACAAGTTTGAATGAGCAAGGTTCTGGTTCTGTTCTCTTAGATCAGGCACAACCAGAGCAAGACCTACAAGAGATTCTGGGCTCCAGAATGTTCTTTCCTTCCAGGTAGGCTGTGCCAAGCCACGTGTGCAACATCCTTGTGGCAGGCAGCTCAGTACCACGAAGGCTGTGGGGGTTGGGAGGTGATGAATTCAGGAGTGCCAAGCTGCCTCCAACTGCCTTCACCGTCTCCATGCAGGGGCAGGTAAATCTGGTCCAGCTCCTATTTCATTGGTGATTGGACCTTGGGGGCAAGCTGGCTAACGTTGCCGGGCGTCCCGTTTCCTCTTTTCTAACACAAGGATAACAACCATACATTCAGAGTTACAGAGTGTAAGTCTGTAAGGTGCTTACAGCCCTGTGTGTCATCCTGGCACCGGGAGAGCGCTTTGTTAAATATTTGAGAAGCAAATCAAATGCAACAACACCCAGCCATCCTGCACTTCTTCCCAGCCACAAGGAACACAGCAACGACCGGGACGCGGCGGTTGGCCACGACCAGCTTTTCCTGACCCGAGCAGTTATTGTTGCTAGGGAGCCCCCGACGCGTCTCTGCGCCACCCTCCTACCCCCTAGTCGGCTCCGGGGGGTGGAGGACTGGGCAGGGGGCCGTGCCCTCCTCCTCCTCATCCTCCTCCTCCTCCGTCGGCTCCGCCGCGTCCCTGGTCCCGGCGCCTCCTCCGCGCGGCCCGCCCCGGGGGCGGGGCTCGCGCCGCGCACGCGCAGGGCTGCCGTGCCGCGCCTGCGCCGTGGCGGGGCGGCGGGAGGCGGGGGCCGGGCGGCCGTGTGAGGGGCGGGAGGCGTCCCGGCCGAGCGTGGTACTACGCGGCGCGCGGGCCGGAGGGGCGGGGGATGCGCCTGGCGGCGGCGGCGGCAGCGGCGCCAGAGCAGCGCTGTGGGGCTCGCCGCGGCTGCAGCGCGGGCGTCGCGCGCGGCCTCAAGACGCCGCACCTTTCTGCCCCTCACTTTTTTTTTTTTAAATAACCGGAACCAATGAACGTAGCCGGGACCCGAGCTCCAGAGGCCGCCGGTGCCCAGGGGACCAGGCTGGCGCCCCGTAGGGAGCAGAGGCGGGGGCGGCCCGAGGAGTCGCCGGCGGCGGCGGCGGCGACGGTGGCGCTTCTCGAAGCCGGCGGGTGGCCGGCGGTGCCGGCGGCGTCGCGCTCTCCCGGCGCTCCTCATCCTGCCCCGGCCTCGGGCTGGCCGCGGCCCCGGCGGCGGCGCTGGGCTGCGCTGCTGCTGCTCGGGCTGCTGGTGGCCGGAGCGGCGGACGGATGCGAGCTGGGGCCGAGGCACCTCCGCGGGCGGCGGGCGGCGGGCTCCGCCGGGGCAGGCACCACTTCTCTCTCTGCGGCGGCGGCGGGCGAGAGCTCGACGCTCCTGACAGGTGAGGGCCGGGGGTGGGGGCGGCGGGCCGGGCCGGGGGCGCACCTCGCAGCCCATCCTCTGCGGCTGGACGTCCGGGGGCCGGTGCACGCGGAAGCCGGCGTCCCCGCTCGCTGCCTGGTGGCGGTCCCGGTTCTACCCGGACACCCCGCCCTCGGCTAGCCTCTCCAAGGCACTGGCTTCCCCGCCCTGCACTCGGGCTCCCCGATCTTCCAGGCTGAGCACTGCGGCGGTTTCTCTTTAGTGCTGCAGAAGAGCCAGCAGGGTCTGCAGGAGATTGATCCCCCCCCCCCCGCCTCCCTTTAAGCTGTTTGAAAGTCAGCAGCAGCAGCAACAGCAATGCGGTATTGAGTCTGTGTCTGGTGCTGCTTTTGCAAAGGCAGCTGGTAGGGAGCCTCTCAGCAGTTCAAAGCCCTCTGAGCACAGTGTCCCAGGGGAAGCTGCTAAAAAGAATTCTTTGAGAGCCACCATACCTAATGGTATTGAGGGTTCCGTGTTTGCAGGCGGGAACATCCGAGTCGTATGTGTACGTTTTGTGGGGGTGGAAGGCCCTTCTAAAAGATGGGAAGTCTTGGCTGGTGGGAGCATCACGGTGGCAAAGGGCTCAGAAAGCTCAGCAGGTTCCCGGGAACGCACCTACCATTTAGTGAGTGCAGAATGTCTGGGACTTGGATCGGAGCGGCACGGTGCTGATAGACTGCGTCTGCACCCTTTTAAACATAGAAGAAGCTTCTGGCAGTTAGCAAAAAAGTTACAAACATGTTTTGGTAAGATTAAGTAGAAAATTGTATCCTGTAGAAGAAAACCTTCCGGTGTTAACAGAGGACTGTTGTGGTCTAAGTCATAATGTAAGGTCCGAAGATAATTCCTTTGGGAAAGAAGTGGAGCTAAATGCCCTTATAGTGGCATTTCTTTTATTTTTAAGGGCAGGTTTGTCGGTTTTCTGCGTTAGTTGAAAATTAAAACGGAGCCGGTGGAGCACTGTGGTTGTCATTCGTGATAGTCCAACAGGAGCCTGGAAGATCGCAGCTGCTCTGAGAAGCCTCGGGGAGCTGTATTCTTACAGCAGAGGTGCTATGCTCTGGGTTCTGTGAGAGGATATTTGTTCTTCTAGAGAGTAGACAGATGCTGGGAAACTTGGCCAAGCACCTGGAAGTTGTAGGGCAGGAACATGATGATTGGCATATTTAACTTTACCTTGATGTCTGTCAAGCTGGGCTTGAGAGCTGGGGACAGCAAATCTATCACTGGGTGATTTGGATAAAATAACTACAAGTTTAACCGGTAGCAGGAGTGGGGTATACTTAGGTGATAGATAGCGTAGCACAGTGCTTTAATACTCCATTGTCCAAATGAAAAGATAGGAAATAACATAGTGTAGCATAGTGGTTATCAGGAAGGTAAGATGCAATTGAAAGTTTAATGTCATGCATGAGGGAGGAGCGGAAATATTTTAGTTTGTTGAAGAGATACGAGCATGGCCCAAGTTTCTGCAGCAGAAAAGTTTGATTAATCAAAATGTAGCTGTTAGAAGGGCCAAGGATCCAGAAGATTTAGTTTCGTAATAGCTACTAGAAAGTTTATTTCAATTAGACCTTTAAAAAACTGTCTATATTTTTAAGTCTTTAAAAGTTATCTATTATGGGAAAACAAAGGATGAATATCTCACAGGAAAAGTGATCACAGAAAATGAGATTGTGCTGTAGTCTTTCAAAGTTGTCACCACCACCACCACCACCCTCCCTGGGATTACTGTTAATGTTACTGTTTTGTAACAGTATTGATTTTTTTTTTAACAAGTTAAAAGTTTCCATTGTAAGTTTGAGGTCATAAAATGACATAAGGTACAAATTGACACAGTGTACAAGTTGACTTGCTGGTTACTTTATGGGAATAGAGTCAATGGCACAGTGCTTGCAGGAGGTAGGCTGTGTTGGACATTTTACGCTGTGAGGCTGCTACAGAGCTCCTTTCCGGTTAGAATTACCTGAACAGTGCTTTCTTTTATGACTCCATTTGTAAATGTTGTGCTAAGCTCACACCATAATTTATTAGTGCTATTGTACATTTCAGGAAGTAGAACCATAGACCCAGCTTACAAACCACTGCGGTGTCATGGATAGAGATGGAGGGGAGCACTTGTAATATCAGACTGAAACTGCTCGTGAATTTTGGAAGTTGAAAATGTTTGGATGCTGAGAGAATTCTTCTCTGTGTCTGCTGTTTGCAAGTTTCGTGTAGCTGTCAGTGTTAGGATCTCTGTAACGTGACACCCACAGTCACTCTCCAGATTGGTATTTTTCATCCTCATCTTTTGAAATTTCCCAGGAGTTTGCTCCTTATACTAAAAACTAGAAAGCATTGTTTGACTCTGCAGGGTTTTCTTTTGGGGTTTAGTATGTGTGTATGTGCTTGGATTGGAGCAAGCTAAGTGTTCTGGTGGAGATCAAGATTTGTCATCGTAACAAATACAGTGTAAGAACTTCTTTTCCTTTTTGTTTGTATTCCTTTTTCAGAAGTCATTGTGTAACTTTTTGGTATCGTGGAATCAAGAATCAATCTTTATAAAGTTGTGTATGGGTTTTTAATTACATGTGTTTTTGGGGATTGCTGATTGAGAGCATGTTGATTATATTCTTAAACAGTGATTTAATAATTGATAACTTTTGACTTAATGGATTTTAGAATCAATAAATATTAATCTTAGTGGGGAGTGATTGGTTTATCTCATCCGGATATTGCCTCTGATGAATAGTTTATGAAAGGGCAATGACTGTATAAAAGAACACAATTATCTTTTGTGGTAAAATACGCAAAGTAATTGAAACATTAAGTTTTTTGTTGCTGTGTCTCATAATTTTTAATTATCTGCTTCCATCATTATGTTTTTATGAACTGAAGCAAGGATCTTGTCTAAAGTTTTTGTCTTAATTATATTTAATTTTGGTGTGTTATTCACCATATAAACATACATATTTTAAAATACATCCTTTTAAAGTCATAAAATCACATTGAAGATTTTACCTATTCTCAACTCAAAGTATAATAGCAATTTAGAGGACCCCTTATCTAGTAGTGTAACTACATTTGTGCTGTAGGCTTTGCTTATTTTGGATGGGACCATCTAAAAGTAGCATGATAGTTGTTAGAAAAATCTTACACAAAGATTTAGTTATCTCACTCTGCATCTCTAACACTTAGCCAGCAAGCATTATCACCTTATCATGGTTGTAATTAGTAGTTGGTGTGTATAGCCTGTTTAAGTTGCTTTAAGTTCTAGTTGTACGGTGGATCCACATATGTTAATGTTTATGTTGTGACAATAGTTAGATTCACAGTGTAGTTCACACAATACTGGAATCGTATTTTTCCTTTTGTGAAGCTTTTTCTGAATTTGGCCTATGATTCTACCAGCCTTGTATTGTCCTTTTTCTTTCTTGTAGTTGTTTTTATCCGTCTTTTTCTTCAGCAGTGTTGACCTCAGCTCTAATTAATTTTCAGCAGCTAACTACAGGCTTAAAGAATTCACTTGTATCCATTTGATTTCATCTCTTCTACATATTCAAGAATTAGTGGTAATATGGGTCAGGAAACTTTGCATCCCTTGTTACTGTGCTTGAGGCCCTGTGGTGGAGCCAGGATTTAGCTTAATTTTTTTCGAAAAGGAGGATCCACACAGAAATTCTGTAATTTGCTAAGAAGCTACTTTGTAGTTGATGTCTTTAGATTATATAGACTTTTGTAAGTGAGTTTATTAGGCTTTGTGGATACTGATCTAGTCATTGGTGATAATATGAATACTTTTCAAAATTATGCTTGTGTTTATGTGATAAAGTGTAAACTGGTTATAAATGATAAGCAAACCATTTTTGATGTTCACTAGAGATTGTACCTCACCTTGTTAAGATTTGCCTACAAGATTAGTTTTCAGTGGATGAAGTTTAATTACCTCAGCAGTTATTAAACACATGTGCAAGGTCACATACTGGGCCTGGAAGAGAACACAGAAGAAGGGTGTGGGTCTGTTCATTAGGAGCTTGGAGTAGTATGAGTTAGGTAATGAGTACTTAGTGCACTTTCACCAGGTGCCACTGTTACACTGCTTTGTGTACATCAGTGTTTTGATTCTGAGACAATCCTGTTAGATAACTGCTCTTATCATGTAATTGATGAGGAAACTGCTACAGTAACTTGCCTAAGGTCACACCTAGCAAGTAGCAGTTCCATGTTGATGCAGTTTTCTGTAACTCTGAAGCTGCTTTTTCTCCTTTTTAAAAGACATATTTCATTTATTTGAGAATCAGAAAGGCAGTGAGGAGAGACAGTGTGAGTGAGCTGGATGTATCTTCCATCCTCTGGTTCTTTCCCCAAATGGCTACAACTTCTGTGGCCAGACATGGCTGAACCAGGGGCCCAGAACTCACTCTGCATCTCGGTGTGGATGCAGAGGCCCAGGCACTAGGGCCATGTGCTGTTCCTTTCCCAGGAGCGTTAGCAGGGAGCTGGATTGGAAACAGCATCCAGGACTAAACTGGGGCTTGGGTGGAGGATGGTTGCCACATGCCACAGAGCTATCCCTTGGAATTTTCATTCCTGTTTGTTTATTTAATTTGCTTGAAAGTCAGAGTTACAGAGAAAGAAAAAGAGAAAGAGAGAGAACAAGTTTGCATCTGTTAGTTCACTCCTCAAATGGCTGCAATGGCCAGAGCTGATCCAATCCAGAGCAAGGAGCCAGGAGCTTCTACCAGGTCTCCTACATGGGTGCAGGATCCCAAGGGCTTTGGGTCATTGTTTGCTGCTTTCCCAGGCTATTCAGGAAACTGAATCAAAAGCGGAGCAACTGGGACATGAACTTGAACTGGCATTCATTAAGGATGCCAGAACCACAAGTGGAAGATTAGACTAAAATTTCCATTCTTAACTGTTATCTTTTCTGCATTTTTATATATGTGACTAAACACAGGAAGAGGCAACTAGGGAATACTGAGCAGGATAAGATTG